CATATACATATATATTCATTTATATATACATATACATATATATTTATACATAAAAACTAAAATTTATCTTTGTTTCTTAGAAAAAAAGGGCAATAAATAGTGTTTCAAATTGTCTTTATGGACGTTTTGTTGACTAATGAGATATTTCTTATGTACAGTACTTCAGTGAAGTGATCCTACATTGCCATCCTGCCTAGAGCTTTTGCCCCCCCGTGGAAAATTTTCTAGATCCGCCACTGTGTGGCTTTAGATCCAATGATCACAGTCTGAATGTCTGAATGAAGACCATCCAGCAGAAAAATAAACACAGAGAGACACAGGCATACACATTATTATTATTATGATTATTATTATTATTATTTGTAGTAGTAGTATTAGTATTAGTATTATTAGTAGTAGTATTACCTTTTGCCCTTTGCAGTTACTACTGTTGGTCAATATTTGGGGGTGGGGCCATGACAGAATCTTGCTTGCTGAGGTGGAAAATGTTAAAAGATTCCTGTGGATGTGAGTCTGAAACGTTCAGGGTTTGAGTTATTCTGAAGAGGTCTTCAGGGTTTTGGAACGAGCAGAAGAGGAATCTGTATTATTGCAATAAAGTCACTCGGCTGCTTGTTTGTTCAGATGGTTTTCTTCGTGGTGAGGAGGGAGATCAAATGGACACATCACTTCTAAATCGCCCATAAATGTTACTGATGTCGGTTTTGCTCTCTGGATCGCAGAATAACTCAGTCCTATGGCTCCAGCGGGTCTTTGAACAAACAGAACCGTGTGGTGAACAACCAGGACTGAACGCTCCCTCTGCTCAGACCGCTTCACACCACTGCTTCTGACCGTAATACTCTCAATTAATACCAGACTCTGACAGCTCAGCCCACCGTAAAGATTTTCCTCTTAAGATACATCTCCAATTCAGAAACAGGGATGAATATAAACAAAAACTGAAAGCGATGACTTGTAAATCCTAAAAAAAAACTGTTAGCAAACAGATCAATTATTGAAGCTAATAAATGACATAACTTTTTTTTAGAAGAAGAACGAGAGTTTTATGCTGAATTTTTGTTTCACGATGCATCAAAAGTTTTCCCTTGGTGAGAGGTCTGGACTGCAGGCAGGTCAGTTCAGCACCTGGACTCTAACCAACCATGCTGCGGTTTAGCACCGTCTCCCTGAAATATGGAAGGCCTTACTTTAAAAACACACAGTCTGGATGGGAGCAGATGTTGTTCTAAAACCTGTAAAAATGCTCTACGTTGATGGAGCCTTTCCAGATGTGGACGCTGTCCATACCAGAGGCAGTAATTCAGCAGCGTGCCGTCTGAAAGGCAGGAGGTCTGAACTGATAACAGGCCTCCTGCTCCTCCTTCTTTTTGTACGAAGGACGTGATTTTACCAGAAAGAGTTAGACATTTTGATTTGTCCAACCACAGAACAGCTCTCCACTTTGTCTCGGTTCACCTTAAACGAGCTTTGGTCCAGAGTAGCCAGCTGTGTTTGTGGATGGTGTAAAGATATTATTATTTTTTGCCTGATAGAGCTTTAACCTGCATGAGCGTATGGTATGATGAACAGTATTTACATACAATGATGTGTGGAAGTTAGTGTTGTAGTCAAGACCAAGACCAGAGTGTTTCAAGACCGAGATAAGACCAAAACTTTTAGGGGCTGGACCAGATTTCTTTCGGAGACTTGAATAATGAATGTTTCATAACATTAGCTAACTGGCTTTGTTAAACTCATTTACACATTGCTTCCTTCCTATGTGACGTTAAAACTTTAACATAGTGCCCATCATTGAATATATTATAAAGACAAGATATTTAATGTTTAAATGGACAAACTAGACTATTTTTTTTATATTCACCCATTTTCATTTGATGCAACACGTTCAAAAAAAGCTGGGACAGTTTACCACTGTGTTACATCACCTTTCATTTTAACAACTGGAGTGCTAAAGAAATACGAAACAGTATAAGGTGTATCTATATAAATTGTTGTTCAAGAGGAATTAGATGTTCTTGTCTTTTGTTTTGTTAATAACATAGATCTTTTTTGTTATATGAACTTATTCTAGTAAAAAGGGGCAGATACAGCGAGTAAAATAAGTATTGAACACGTCACCATTTTTCTCAGTAAATGTATTACTAGAGGTGCTAATGACATGAAATTTTCACCAGATGTTGGTAACAACCCAAG